TGACTTTTTGTGCTATTGACATATTCCACTTTGACTAATATTGTATAATGGCAGATATTAATTTAAAAACTCACTATCCATAGCAAATATGATTTTGCTATACGTACTTGCCCATTACTCACATAAGTCAAACCCATACTCGTTCTAATTGGGGATGGATGCAATGTAGAATCTGCAAAATTATACCCACTTGTCATTCCTATAATCCTATAGCCAAACTTAGAAGCAATATCTATTGACATAACATTTACCAGTTAAACTAGCACTTCATTTTTATTTATTTTTTTGGTGCATACATGGGCCAAGCTCGGAAACAAAAAATTACACAACTAAACGGGGAGTAGTAACTCCCATAGCATCCTCCCAAAATGCGTTCTTTATTAAGTCGGAGGAATATCGAAATAAACAACACCAAAACAAGTCTGCCACCTTATTACCCTCCCCCAAAACAAAACACAAAGTCAAAATTACAACCAAAAGAATGTACCACAACTTCTAAGAATGTGCAGGCATTCACCCCCTAGGTGCTCTCCATCTTGAAAAGCCTCTAAGCACTTTATGCACACATTGCTTGTGTATTTTAACTGTCTAATACTGTATAATTCTATTTCTATTACATGTACAAATTTTAGGAATACATAAATATAATTTGCGAATCTAAAAATGTGAAGATAAGTAGTAGAGCTTGGTACCTCCACTAACAAAGGTAGCGTAGCGAGTGATTGCGATTTCAATTTTATTTTTTTAATGTCAAATGAAGGGTATAGATAGAATGAGTTTGATTGATCGTAATATTTGTAAAGTGTAATTTGTGTATTAATTAATTAAGGTAAAATTGGCCCCAATATATAGCACGAACTTTTAACATGAAGCAAGTAGCAGCATGAAATTTGAGTTTTGACTAGTAACTATAACAAGTAACAACACAAACTTCCTTATTAGGTGCACAAAATATTTAAATGACGCTTGATATCAAATTTTTTGCCGATGAATTATCAAACAAGTTTTGGAGGTGAATTTAGGGTCTGTTCACTTCAGCTTAATTTCAGTTCAATTCAGCTACTAATTTTCTTCTCTCATAAAATATTCATTTCAGCTCAGTTCAATTCAGCTCTAATCAATTCAGTAGATCAGCTCACTTCAATAAATGTGAGCAGACCCTTAGTCAATTTTGAGATCAAATTTAGCCAAAAAAAAATACAAAAAACATCGATTTATGTGCTATAAAAATGTCTCAGTTAAGGTATTAGGTCAATTTGGACCTTAAGGACTAAATATGATATCAAAATTTGCAAAAAGTTAATAAAATATTAATATTTGATAAAATTTTCGATCCTGGGTTTCATTTACTCCCTCCTTGTTTTAATAAGTGTTACACTTTTTTTTTCCGCAAAAAACTACATTTAAATATTACATCTCTCTCCTCTCATGATCCCCACCCAAATCCATTACTAATTTTTTTTATTATATATTTCCTCTCACATTCATTACATTTCGATAAACATTAACCCCACTAAATTTTGTTTACAATTTATTAATACTTCAACTACCTCACTTATCTCTTATTTTATTTAAGTCAATTAAATTGTCTAAAATTATGTGTCGGTTAAACTGCAACACTTATCAAAACACGGAGGGAGTGTGATATTTTGTACACCCGATGAAGAAGTTGATGATGTTACGGCTACTAGTCAAAATTCATGCTCCTATATGCACCTTGTTAAAAGTTCGTGTTGTTAAGACCAATTTTTCCATTAATTAATTGTATTAATGGAAATAAATTAAAATACTACCTCCGATTTTTATTAGTTGTAACTTTGGAATATTTTATATCTCACTTTGGAATATTTTATATCTCATAAATAATACTCCAAAGTTGCAACTAAAAAAACGGAGGTAATATGTAATTTGTTTATAATTTGACGTAATTTAAGTAATTGATTGTTATTTTTAACTAAAAAAAAACCAAAGGTAGTATGCATTATTTGTTAATTGATTGATGTTTGAGTTTTTCTTATATATACGATTATACAAAGTATATGTTTAAAGGAAGAGGGGTGTTTTAAGTGGACACCACAACCTTATAGGTAGTATATAATAGAGATGACCAAAACCAAAGGTAGAAGCAATATCGATATTGGACATTACATGAATAGTTAAATGCCCATAATTGAACTACATTACTAATAAGATGCTAATGGTTAGCAACCTATTCATTTGCTAGGTTAATACTTACTCCCTCCGTTCCCAAAAATTTGACCTTTTTAGGTTGATTTTGCGGTTATTAAGAAACTTAAATAAAAAGAAATAAAAATATATTGGAAAGATAAATTTACATGGGGTTTGTAAAAAAATAGAGAGATAAAGTATTAAAAATACATGAAAAATAAAATTTTATATGGGGAAAATAATTCTGCACAAATATTGTTGTAAATTGCAAATGGGTCGATCATTTTAAGACTAAAACTAGGCTAAAAGAGTCGAAGTTTTGGAGAAGGAGGGGGTATAACAATTTGATCAGAGTAAAAGGTAATTAATATGATTGATGACCAAGGTGATTGATATGGAGAAAAATCTTTAAAACAATTTAACTTCATTAACTACTAGCATATCATCATCCCAAGAAGGAATTCAATAAAGAGCAGTACGTTTGTGGCAAAGCACAATGATGAATCTAACCGAGCCACTCCCTCCATTCCCAAAAAAAAAAAAAAGAAAAAATTCCCATTAGTACATCCGTGGTTTTAACTTTTCCCAATTCCCATTGATATACTCCTAAATTTTTGTCTTTCCATCGATACACCCATGATTTAGTCTTTTTCTCAACCGTGACTAACATCGTTAAAAAGTATCTCATTAAGTTAAAATAATTAAGGAAAAGACTATAATACCCCTTTTAAACATCTAATGTCTCAATTTACGTGTCGAAATTTGTTCGGTTAAAGTTTTGGGAGTCATGTTAGGCCTTAGGGCATCCACAATAAGAGGTTTGTCATTGGGTTTGTGGGAACTTTTTTGAGGTTTGTTGACAAACCTCTTATTGTGGGAAAAACAAAATAAGGAACAAGTTTGTATATACAAACCGGCTCATTTGCTCCAAATGGCCCACTTTCTCCTTTTTTTTAAAAAAATAATAAATCTTGTTAGGGCTTATTTTATTGTTTAGATAAATTTAATGAGTTGTAAGTAGGTCTCATATACCTTTGAAGAGGTTTATTTATTGTTGATGAAAGGTTTGTCAAGTGTGGGGCTTGTATGATGATGATGTGGCAAGTAAACAAACCTCTTAGAGGTTTGTTCTATTGCTCATGCCCTTAAAGAACCAAATTAACCTCGAAATTAGCAAAAAAAAATAACGCAAATGTCTCATATGCGTGTCAAAAAATGTCTCGATTTGCGTGCCATTACTTTTTTGTGATAATTATTGTTCAGTTAAGGTTTTAGGGGTCATTTTGACCTTTTATGGGTCTAAATCAAACTCGAAATTGTCAAATATTAAATTAACGAAAATATCTCATTTTGCATGTCATAATATTTCTTTTTTTTTCATGACATGCAAAACGAGACATTTTCGTTAATTTTTTTTGACAATTTTGAGTCGATTTAGGTCCATAAAGAGTCAAAATGACCCCTAAAACCATAACCGAACAATTACTATCATAAAAAGTAACGGCACACAAACCGAGATAATTTTTTTACACGCATATGAGACATTTATGTTATTTTTTTGCTAATTTTGAGGTTAATTTGGATCATTATGGACTAACATGACTCCCAAAACTTTAACCGAACAATTTTAGATGCGCAAATCGATACATTAGATGTTTAAAGGGGTATTATAGTCTTTTCCATAATTATTTAAACTTAATGAAACACTTTTTAAGGGTTGGGATTTGGGAAAAAGACCAAACCATGGGTGTACCGATGGGAAGGCAAAAATTTAAGAGTGTATCAATGGGAAAAGTCAAAACCACGGGTGTACCAATGATAATTTCCCAAAAAAAAAAGATTACCTTTGATGGATGTACACGGTTAATAAGGATAATAAGATAGTACTCCGTAGAAAACAATGATTAGATATTACCTGTGTCAAATATTAAGACATTAAATTAACTTTGAAAAAAAGGAACATTTACAATTTTGCATTGGAAGTATGTGAATATTTTAGTAAATAAAAATAGTTGCATTTGGAATATGTAAATATCTTATTAAATAGGAATTGTTGCATGGAAAATATATATTTATAAGGAAAACGTATGAAAATAAAAATAAAAATATTGAAACGTAACGATTAAAGAGGGGAATGCCAAAAAGGGCAAACGTAACACTCTTTCAAGTTTGGAAAGAGTACATGTCAGAAGCATTTACTATACATCAACATGACAAAAACAAAACTAACATAATATTCGACGTAAGCAGCTAATCAGCTGTCAAATTACCACATAACACGTTAGTCAGAGCAGCTGGACAAAATACATAACATTATCAGCAATTAACATGGCAGTTATCCAGAATAAATAAAATAAACTAAACTAAAGAAACGCTTTTAACTGCTATAACAACCACTAAATTATCAGCCACAATGTCTTTAAAAAAAACTCTGAATAACCATAATCGACATAGACTAGAATATTATATAAACCAAAAAAATTAACTTGTTAATTAAGCCATTGAATATAAGAAGTATTAAGTCAACACTCTACTCAATAATACCCAATATCCTAACCTTCTATTCTTCTAATACTACCTCCGCTTTTTCTCTTCATATTATTTGCAACGATTAGACATTTTTCCTCTCTACTTTATGTCAAATTGTCACAAAAAATATAAAACGGAGATAGTAGTAAAAATAAGAGGGTTAAAAACACCTAATCACACTACATTATCAAAGCATTTAGAATGAACCCTTCCCAAAAAAAAATGAAAGGATAACGAATTAAAGATATATTCATTTCAATTTTCTTTCATTGATATTCCAATGAAAATTTGGGTTGTACCATTAAATGGCCGTCCAAAGAGATTTGACTAGACAACTCAATCCAAACATTCACTCACGCACTCTCACGCTCACTCTTTGGAGCGTCAAGTATTCATTCCGCCAGACAAATCCACACCCCCCCACTTCTTCGCTATTTATATCCCTTCTTACCCTTGCCTCTCTTTTATCCCACAACAAAATACCCTCTTTCTCTCTCTAAAAACTACCTTCTTTCTCTCTCTAGAAATAAAAATATGGCTCCTAAACAAATCACTGACAATAACAATGCTCTTAACAATCCTACTCCCTCCTCCGCCGCCTATTCCGCAGTAGCCGTAACACCTCAAACTGAGATTAAATACCGAGGGGTTCGGAAGCGGCCGTGGGGCCGATATGCGGCCGAGATCCGTGACCCCTTGAAGAAGACGCGCGTGTGGTTAGGAACCTTCAACACCGCGGAAGAGGCGGCGCGTGCTTACGACAACGCCGCCCGAGAGTTCCGCGGTGCTAAGGCTCGGACCAATTTCACCTACTTAGATCAGCAGTGTCTCAGCGCCAGTGGCGATAATAACAGTCTCACCACCGTTGAATCCGGCGGCGCGTGTGTCAACGCGCCGCCGCAACTGGGAATTTCTCTCTCCTCCGCCGCCGACAGTAGTGGACCGTACGTGATGTACGGAATGTTGGCGAAGAGAGTGAGTGACATACGAGAGGCGTTCAGGTGTGGGCGCGTGTTGGGTTGTAATGATGGAACTCAGAATCGAGGTGAAATATCAGCCGTTGATTCTAGTGATGGACGGCAGAGGATGGTTCTTGATCTTGATCTTAATTTGGCCCCACCTCAAGAAGTTGTATGAAGGATGAGATCATCTCATTGTAGTTCTTTGAAATGGGCCCCACCACTTTAAATTAGTGTTTTTTTTAAAAAAAAATTTAATTTTAATTTGGTGGTTTATCTTAAGATTATGATAAAGAGAGAGTTGAATTGCGAGCCTTAATTTTGTAATTTGAAGATAAAGGCGCAGCTCTTATATTGTCAGAGTTTTTGTAAATACAGAAGTAACAAACATCCTTTTTATTTAATTAGTAAATTATTAATCTATTTTTGTTATTATTATTACCGAGTAGCATTTAGTATTATTATAAATATTCTCTAACAAGCATATAAGGATCTTGTTGGTGGAAGAATTATATAAATAAACATTGTTAATTAATCAATTGGCACGTTACTTGAATAAATTAAATGATAAGTTTTGGTTGTTAAATATACTTCAGTACAATATATTGAGAATTTTATTTTATTTGATTGAACCTAACTTGATTTTTGTTTTTTGGATTTATTTAAACTTAATCTAAATTAATTTAGTTGCACGTTAAACTTAGATTGGATAAGCTATATTTATATAGTTATTTAAACTAGTTTGATTTTATTTTTAATGAATTTATCTTTACTAGCCTATTATCAATTTTAATTTTCTACTAGAGATAAAAATGAACTGAACAAAATTGGATCGCATTTAGAGATTGGTTTAATGCTTTTGATTATCTTTGTAAGATGGAATATTGCTAAATTTTTTACACTTTTTTATTTGTTATGAATGAGTTGATGAAATATAAAAAAAATAAAATTACTGATGAAATATAAAAAAATTAAATTGGTTCTTTAAAAAAAGGAGTTTAAAATTAAATGATAAATTAAATTTCTTTGACCTTCAAATTACATGGAGTAGTCAAAACAGTACTTTTTTTTTTTTACGTAGTCAAAACAGTACCTAAATAGTCACAGTGTTGGGAAAAATAGTAGTGATTGACGGTCATGAATCATGATGAAGTACGATCATTTAACCTTAAAGGTAAAAAAAATTGCAAAAAAAAGCTTTTTAAAAAAATATGGTCGGTCCCAAACATACAATACATTAACAATAAGTAGGAATATTTACCTCTTTTTTTCTTCGCATTTCCCATACAATAGTATGATAACATTATTTTTTTTTTTAGAAAATATGAGTATTTAAAAAAAATGCTTAGGGCTACATATAAACATTAAATTTACACTTGAAAATCGTAAAAAGTTAAGAAATTATAAAAATATAAACATTAATTACACTGATTTACGCGTGTTTTTGCCATGAATTTTTAATTTTATACAATTTCTGAGAGTGTATTTAATACTTTTATATAACCCTTAGGGCTACATATAGCATTACCCTTAAAAAAAATATTTTAAAATGAAAATTGATAGATTTCAACAAAATTTCACATAAACATGATATTGTTAAATTATTAATTTCTTTTGCATTTAAAATCTCACATAATTTTGAACACGAACAAATGGATAGCATCAATCATTCGAAATGGTACAAATGGTACTTTCATTAGTTTCATACTTTGAAATGGCTAAATGCTTTTACTTGGTAAATGTTTAAAATAATATTTCAATTCAAAATTCATGGTTAAAATAAGGGCTTTAAAATTCCAAATGAGAGGTTGGTATGGTTAACATCAAATATTTTTTTTACTCCTTATGTGTTTTTTTAAGGGGTGATTTACGAAAGTATGGTTATTTTAAAACTTATTTACACTTTTGCGTCGGAATGAAACTTAATTACGAAATTACTGTCCACGTAGGCTCGGATAAGTTTTTATTTTATTTTTTTATTTTTCAAAGTAAAACCGATACCTCAAGTAGCGGTTTATGTACTAAAACCGCTACTTGAGGTAGCGGTTTTACCCTTCATAGATTGATTAAATGTCTCTTTACTTAGAGTACTAATGACAAACCGCTACCTCAAGTAGCGGTTTTGGACTATAACCGCTACTTAAGGTAGCGGTTTGTCTCTAAAGAAAAAAATTACCCCTAATGTATCTCCAAGCCTACGTGGACTATATTTTCTTAAATAAGTTTCATTCCAATGCATAACCGTAAATAAGTTTCTTAAAAGCTATATTTTTGTAAATCATCCTTTTTTAAGTGATGCACTTTGACCAAATACGCATGTCGAAACACGACTTTGACCACTAATTTATCTAATTAAATGTTAGTAAAATTATAAAAAAAAAAATTAATATTATGAAAGTATACATTAGGACGAATCCAACAGTATACTATACAATAACATTTGTTTTTTTTAGATTAGTAAAGTGATCAATTTAATCAAGTCAAAACTATTATGTGAATAGTAAAAAAAGTTAGATTGTAACACTTAAGAAAAACACGGAGGAAATATCATATTTTGATAGACAAAAGAAAAATTTACAAAAAAATACCGTAAAAATAAAATGAGAACACAAATTGAATCATAAATAATAAAATAAATGAGAGTTTATATTGAAGTTTAAATTCCGTGCTCATAGACTCATAGTCATACGGAGTACCAAACACCAATTATTTTTTTGCTAAACAAGCCGTTTGGTACTTCTAGAGTATATTTCAGTTGTACTCGGTAGTCAATATGGAGTATCTACTAGCCTTATAGCCTACTAGGCTACTAGGGGCAAAATAAATTAATACTGGTGTGAATATGTGTGCTGCGTTATCTTGGTTTATTGGTCTTAGTTTAAAAACATACAACAGAAGGTGAGGTGTCAATTCGGATGATTTAATCGAGTCTGATGTTAAATTAGATCAATTTTTAAATTAAGTCATGCTAAATTATTATAGTATGTACACATGAATCTAAATCTAAATCAAATATTTTTTGGTTAGATTACGGATCGGGTCGAATTGGGTGTTCTTTTGATACCTCTAGACAAAAGTCACAAAAGTGATTTCTCGGTGTCCTTGCTCCTAAACCCGCAACCTCTGCGATTTTACCAAAATTGTATAATATACAGTAAAAGTTCTACAAGAGCTTTTATTTCAAACCATAATAGCGTATGTGATGCTGATCACACCATATAGTCGTTTATAAAAGAAAAAAGTAACCCTTATAACATTAACCAAGTAACCACTGTAATACTGAATGGATAACCCCTACAACATTAAGCAAGTAATTCATATAATACTGACAAAGTATCCCCTGTTACGTTGACCGAGTAACCCTTATAACATTAATGAAATAGTCCCTATAATGGCCAGTGTGGCTAGCCATAGCGTTTTTGACTTTTGCACTATTCACGTACTCTACATTGACTTATTATGAATTTAAATAACCCTTACTTCCTTCGTTTTTATATAATTGATCCATTTCTCCTGAACACGTATGCTGATGCTAATCTATGATCAATAATATCTTTAGGGCCTGTTTCAATTTACAAGAAAACAACTGAACTGATTGGAGTTGGACTGAACTGAATTGAAATTAAGCTAACACAGAATAGACCCTGATTATCAATAAGTATAAATTCTACAACAGAGTAATTGAAAATTAATAATCTATTAATTGATACGATTAAGAAGTACCCATAAGCTAGAGTATATTTTTTTTAATCACAAACATTAGTCAAAAGTAGAATAAATAAATAGTGAAAAAAATAAAAATAGAGCAAGTATTTAAAATCGGAGAGAGTATTATTTATTAAAAAACCTTACACAAAAGTATGGAGTTATATTACCTGAAATTATTGAATATGAATGGATGAATCCATTAACATGAATTTGAAAATGTTAAACTAATTTGTACTACTATGAATAAAAATGGAGGTGAAATCATGATTTAGGTGTTCATCAAGTTTTTACTTATTTGAATTTCTCTAATTTTATTTGAAGTTATTAGAACTCAATAAACTTAGGGTCTGTTCTCTTCAACTTATTTTTAGTTCAACTCAGTTCAACTCTAATAAGTCAGTTCAGTTAAGTTCATATCAACTCCAATAAATTCAGTTCAATTCGCTTAATTTTCTTCTCTCATAAAATATTCACTTAATTTTAGCTCTAATAAGTTCAATTCAATTCAATTTTATTCAGTCAATCAGAACAGACCTTTAGGGCATGTTCTCTTCCATTGAAATTCAGTTCAGTTCAGTTCAGTTCAGCTCAGTTCAGTTTAGTTTAGTTCAGTTCAGTTCAATTCAGCTCTTAATTTACGTCTAATGATATTGCTAATGATATAAAGCCAAATTTCATTCTTTTAAGCTCTTATTAATAATAATAATAATAATAATAATAATAATAATAAAAATAATATTAATATTAATAATAATAATAATATTAACAACAACAACAACAACAACAATAATAATAATAATAATAATAATAATCAATAAGTAATAAATAATAATAATCATCAATAAATAATAATAATAATAATAACAATAATAATTGAAATAATAATACTAATAATAATAATAATCAATAAATAATAATAATAATAACAATAATAATAATAATACTAATAATAATAATAATAATCATCAATAATTAATAATAATAATAATATTATTATTATTATTAATAATAATATGTACATTTGTATATACACATATGTATAGTAATAAATAATCAAAGATCACTAATCCGTAGTTAAAAATCACTAATTAATAAGTTCAGTTCAGCTCAGTTCAGTTCAGTTCAACTGAGTTCAGTCAATCGAAACAGGCCCTTAATCTAACGATTAAGAGCTTAATACAAAACTATGCAAGAAGAGAAGAGCGTGAAAGATGAAACGGTAAAAATGAGGAAAACATAAATAGAGAGGCGCAAAATTGACATATATAGAAGCAGTGACGTGTGTATAGGGCCTAGATTTACACTTTGTTGTCACATGTTCTCTTCACCGTCCAAATTAATCAACATTTTCAAACTCAACTCTTGTTTTTTTTTTTTTTTGGATAAAATATTTATATTTATATTTATATTTGAATTCAAAAAGGTGGTAACTTAATAGCGAATGCCTGCGGTGGTCTCATTGGGTCGTGCTGCGCACCATTACCTGATCGTACTATGACCGGCTTAGGAAGGAATTATGTCAGTTCTTCTGTTTTTCTTTTTTTAATTTAAATAAAATATTAATTCTACTACGAGTATTTTTTTTTTAAAAAGAAAAAATTAATTTAATAGACACTGCTCAATAGAATTTCCTTTTCAAAGTTTGTCGTACTCAATTAGGGAACTAATAAGGAACAACTAACCTTAACCAGAAATAGTTAAACATTTTTTCAT